AGAGCTGCCATAGGTTCATGTACCTACTATTTGAACAGAATCCTGACCTGTTACCTGGCTTTAAGTTTTAAGCAAAGATCTTTTAGCATTTCTTTGATTTTGATTTATTAAAGTTAAAACTGGTTTTCTTGAAATTAAAAAATATATTAAAAAATACCTATTTAATGACCACAGTAAGCTATATAGCATCAGCTAGGTGCTACTTTATAGTATATTCATTCTACTCAGAGTTTCATGCCTAAAGTCAGACATGTATTCACAGCTATGTGTATATCAGCTGAACTTGCTATTGAAAGTAGTTAGATTAATTAAGATATTTTGTGGGACCAGCAGTTAGCATAATGGCTATGTCGCTGAACTCCCATGTAGTTGACCATGGTTCAAGTCCTGGACCTAGTGGCTTAAAACTCATGCCAGGCATGTATGCATGCGTGCCCAAGATCCCAAGAGGAGAATGGAGGAGAAGGGATTGCGGTGTGACCATCCCCCCTGGGGGGTGATTTCTCACTTTCTGTCTCTGTCTCTGTCTGGTGAGCGCACGCGCCCTTAGCAAAAACCTCTCCAAAAAAAAGATATTTTATGAATTAATAAAATGTGGAGAAAAAAAGAAATGAGTAAAATTATGTACAATTAAAAAAAGAAGAAAAAAACTGGTCACATACTTTAGTACAAATAAAAATTAGTAATTCTTTTTTGACAAAATTTTTTAAAAAGTTTAAAGTTTATTTCTTTCCCAGAAAAAGAGAGGAAGACAAGCACCCCAACAGGATCCCATGCTGTGATTCCCCAGCCTCCTCTCCCAAGCCCTCCAAGCTAGCCAGGATCATGGGCAGATGCACTGGGCAGGTACCGACTGGCCCAGGAAACAAACCTGCAATCTTACGTTACTCCAGTGTCTGATCAGCTTATTAGCACCAGTGCCCTACCACTTCTTCACAGGTTGGCCCATTTGAATGATTCCAATGCTGTCAGCTTTATCTCCTGCTATTTATCTCGGAACAACGTACTATTCTATTGTCCTTGATTTCCTGACAGATAAGGATTTGCACCTCCCCTTCCCTAAGTCCTTCTGATATCATTTTATTTTTTAAATAATTATTTTATTTATTTAGTTAGTTAGTTTTGTTTTTGTTCTTTTAGAGGTTTTGCTATAGGGCGCGTGCGTGCGCCAGAAAGACAGAGAGACAGAAAGCGAGAGGTCAACCCCCAGGAGAGATGGCCACACCGCAATCCTTCTCCTCCGTTCTCCTCTCGGGATCTTGGGCATGCACGCACACGCACCCGGCGTGAGTTTAAGCCTCTGGGTCTGGGACTCGAACCACGGTCGACTACATGGAAGTCCAGCGACATAGCCATTATGTCAACTGCTGGTCCATTTAGTTAGTTTTAATTTGACCAGAGAAGGAGATTGAGAGCGGAAGGAGAGTGAGAGCGAGAGCAAGAGAGAGAGATGGAATGTGAGAAAGCAAGCCGCCAGGACTTGAACCACTGTTGGCCACGTGGGAGTCCAGAGCCCTTAACCACCACGCCCTCTCTGGCCCCAGTATTATTTTTTTCTTTTGGATTTTGCCATAGGTGCATGTGCTCACCAGAGGGAGATAGAGGGAAAGTGAGAAATCACCCCCTCCAGGGAGGATGGCTACACTGTAATCCTTTCTCCTCCACTCTCCTTCCAAGATTCTGGGTACACACACACACACACACACACACACAACCATCATGTCTTCCTTTCCTTTCCTTTCCTTTCCATGCCTTTCCTTTCCTTTCCTTTCCTTTCCTTTTCTTTTCTTTTCTTTTTTCTTTTCTTTTTTGTTTTGAGAGGTTTTTGCCTTGAAGCACATGCCCTTGCCAGAGAGAGAGAGAGACAGAGACAGTGAGAGGGAAAGTGAAAAATCACTCCCCAGGGGGAATGGCTGTGCCACAATCTCTTCTCCGTTCTCCTCCTGGGATCTTGGGCACGCATTCACACATGCCCAGTATGATTTTTTTCTTCTTTTTAGAGAGTTTTTTGTTGTTGTTGTTGTTGTTGCTATAGAGTGTATATGCTTGTCTGAGAGAGAGACAGCGAAAAATCACACCCCTGGGGGGATGGGCATGCCACAATCCTTTTCCTCCATTCTCCTCTTGGGGTTTTGGGCACGCGCGCACATGCACGTGATGCTAGTTTTAAACCTCTGAGTCCAGGTCTCGAACCATGGTCGGCCATGTGGGAATCCAGCAATGTAACGGTGGTTACCACCATCTGCTGGTTCCTCTGACGTGATTTTCAAGCCACTGGGTCCAGGACTTGAACAGTGGTCAGCCATGTGGGAGTCCAGTAACATAACTGCTATGCCATCTGCTGGCCCACGACCTTTCGGCATATCTTTCAAGCTACTGGGCTCAGGACTTGAACAGTGAAATACGCCATGTGGAATCCAGGGCCTTAACCACCTTGCCACCTGCTGGCCTTGGTTTATTGTTATTTTTGAATACAATAGCATAGTCCTTTATTTCATGTACTACCAATCATAAACAGGATTCTAGACTCCTCAGTTTATAAGGTAAGGATATTTGCCCCCACCTCGTTTCCCTGCATTTATCACTCAGCTGCCCGATGTACCTTCCAAGGAGAGTGACTTTACATTCTGTCCCCTTGCTGTGATTAAGGCTTCTGGACTTTATTCATAGGTTGATGCTATTTAAAAAAATCAATAGGTGGTGTTTACATTTTGAACCCATTTCTGAAGCACGGAAGGGAAGGATATTGACATTAGGGGGGGGGGGGCTTTCTCAGGGCAGTCAATGGCCTAAGCAAAATCACAGGGACCTAAACCGAGCGAGTCACATGCAGCTCACAGCTCATGTGCTTGGGTGCTTGGCTCAGGCAGGAAGCCCCTTGAGGAACAACAGGGAACTGAGCTGCTTGAAGAGAGAAGGGAAGTTGGAGGGCCCAGATGGCTGGCTTCCCCTGCTTCCCCCTTCCCTATACTGATCCCAGAATCCTGAATCAGCTTGATCCCACTACCACCATTCAGAAACTCCCACATCAGCCCTCTTGGTGGTCCTTTCTCCCAACCCTCCTCCCTGTCCACAGAACCAGGGCCTCCCAAGACTTTGCAGAGATGAAAAATAATTCCTTCTTCCAAAAATAGTTTGCAACACCTGTCAACCTAGAAAAAAGGCTGAGGCATAGTAAACAGAGTAGGAGTTTTATTTGAGCCAGAGCTTGGGCCGAATCACCCAGAGGAGCAACTGTCTGATTTTCCAGACATATGCTCGTCACAATGGCAACAGAGAAAGCTGGCTTGTATAATAAAAAGAGAATGGTAAGAAGAGAGCAGGTCACAAGTTGTCAAGAGCTCACTTCGGTTTATTTACAATAATGCAGAGCCAGCCTGGTAGCCTGCTAGTTGAGGGAACCAGATTCCACATGGCCAGCTGTGATCCAAGTCTGAACCCAGAGGCTTGAAAAACATGGCTTCGAGTGTGCATAGGTGACCCCAGTCCCCACGAGATGGAGAAGGGACTGCAGCATGACCACGCCCCATGGGCCCTCTCTGCCTCTCTCTCTAGCCAGTGCACATGCCCTCTGGCAAGTTCAAAAAGAAAAAGAGAGAGAGATCAACATCTATCCCTCATTTCAAAGGCCCAGAGAGAGGCAATGACTTACCCAGGGTCACCCAGCAAGTTAATGGCAAAATCCACAAACGTGGCTGGGACCCCAGACCTGGTGGACCACATCTCTGGGTGGGACTATCAGACACCATGAGTCTAATTAGAAAGACACGCAAGTCCAGCCGGCTGGAATCGCTCTGCTCCTTCCTGCCTCAACACAGCACAGTTCCAGGTAGGGGACCCTCCCCAGGAGCCAGGATTCTAAGGGGATTTAAGGCCTCTCTCAGAATCATAAGGAAGAGGCGCATGGCTGCCTCCTCATGACCACAGCTGAGCCAAAGGTCCCAGATAGGGCAAAGTTCTTCTCAGGCCAGGCCCCACCCCACTGCCCCTTCTGCCTGGCGGGCTTACTTCATCTCCAGGTCAGAAGAGGGGAGGTCACCCTGCCAGGGCCTTTCCCCCATTCTTCTCCCCTCCTCCTCTGGAGTAAGGGTCAAGGCTAGGCCAAGACTGCTAGGCCCTGGAACTTGTATAAACCGCCACCTTTCCCAGCCAGGAGGAGAGTCAGTCACCTGCGCTGCCCAGCTCTTCCTACCCCTCTTGCACCCGCACCCCGCACCATACCTGGTTCTCGGGTAGGGAGCGGCTGGAGAGTGAGAAGGGAAGGTGAGAGTGGGGGTGCAGGGCTGAGCCTCGGGCCGCCTCGGTCCACTCTGTCCCCAGTGGCCAGCGCAGGGAACTGCCCTAGGCCCCAAGCTAGGGCAGATAAGTAGGGGTGAGGTACGCAGGTTCTAGACTCTGACGACCCTTCATTGTGCAGTCAGGGGGCCCTACTCCGAGGGTCTAGGCTAAGCACAGAGGCAGAAACAGAAGGTTGCTTTGAGGTAGATGGGGTTACCTATTGGCGTTCCTTCGTAGCTAATGTGTGGCTTCAGCTGGAACTCGGCCCTGTGCCAAGAAGCCCAGAGAGGGCTCACCCGCGACACCCTTTGTCCTGGCTGTCTCCCCACCCGGTGCACGCGGGCACTCTGCCCCAGCTGGCACGCCATGGGAGATCTTCGCGTCTGCTCCTTTGGCCTCCAGCTGCAGCTGTTGGGGCCCCGGAGGCTGGGGGTG